TATTTCTGTCCGCTTTTGCACTATTCCGTCCGCTCCCACGCTATTTCCGCCCGCTTTCACCCTATTCCACCCGCTCTCACGCTATTTCCGTCCGCATTTGCTGTATTCCATCCGCATTATCCATATTTGGACTTATTACACCTTTTTGGCCCACCCCTTCACCCATATTCCATCCGCTCCCACTCATTTCTGGTCGTCGGACCACAATACCACCCGCTTCCTCCTGATTACGTCAGCGGGTGGCCCGTACACTGTTCCTTGCACCTCTGAGGCTTGTACTGTTCCGTACAACACTCACACTACTGTCCAGACCCACCTTACAGCACGGTTACCCCGGGTGGTCGCATTTGGTCTCCACCTACATCTAGGTGCGAGACATTCGGGATACGTTGGTCCGAGATCCGTTTCGTGCACCGGGTCTCACAATCTGGCCAATACCACATTCCCACTTGGCTACACTATGCCGACGGCGCAATCACTGAACTGAAGCAGGTCATCAAGACAGTTAAGGACTTTCTCAGTGTCCATCCCGAACTTGATCTGAATGTCAAGGATCAGATTTTCAAGACCGCTGCCTGGACTCACGACCTTCTTGTAAGTTCCTTTTTCTACAATCCCAAAATTGATTCTCATGAACACATCCAGGCCATTCAAGTATCTGTTCACAAGGTGGTGGACAATCCTTTGTATATTCCCAAATATACTGTGATTGCCCAGTACCTTCATGCGCTCAAACCCTACCATCTTCAAGTTCGAGAGTTGGAGTCTCAGGCACTTCCCTAACAGGAAGTGCACTATTGACCGCTTCCTTGACAAGTTGCACGCCACCAAGGTGTGTCAAACTTGATTTTAATACAGTTCCCTTACATACTTACTTCATTTCCTTAACAGGCTGAGCACAGTGTCATCATCAATTGTGTCCACACTGTCTTTCCACCTCTCTCCAGTGCTCCCGCTCCTCAAGTTCCCCACATGTTCCCCGAGATCAGCGTTCATCAGCTCAATCAGCGACGGGCACAGAGCATGACAAGCATGACCACCACTGCCAACACACCACACAAGGTTATTATCCCCGGTTTACCCACTCTTCCTGGCTATCAACGCACCAGACCCAAAGCCGAAGTTGCTTCAGCCTCAACTGCCGCTGAATCAATGACCATTAAGGCCAACCTTCTTCAAGGCACCTCTGACAAGGTGAGAGTCTGTTTTCATAATTTCAATTGCCTCATATCAACTTAGGCAAATTTCAGATGGACATTGACAACCAAGGCACGCCGTCTCAAATGGGCCATTCTTCGTTGTCCACAACAACCAAGTCTCAGAAATGTCACCTTTGTTGTTCCAAAAATGAACATCCACTTTCCTTTGTATGTGTACCATATTCTCCTTCCTCATTGATTCCTCATGCTCAATTTTTGACAACAGGAGTCTGACCGTACTGACATGTTCAATGCCCAGAGCAAGAGAACCAAGGTCAATAATTTTGACAACGAACCTTGAGTTCCCAGCAAACGTGAGCAATCTTCTGTCCATGCCAGAATCAATTTACAATCTGGTTTCGAACAACTGTCTCTTAATCGTACTAGTACCCCTAGTACTGTTTTTCCTAAAAATACCTTTTAATACTGTCTTTGAATCTTGTACTGAATTGCAAACTTCATTTGTGTTAATACAGACAAGAAAGCTCAGCTTCGCGGCCTGATGTTCAACAATTTCCTTCAGGCCATTGATGTCCCATCTTTGGCCAATTTTGAAGGTCAGCCACCTAGTGCAATACTTGCCGTGTCAAACTATCACACTATCAAGTATCTGGACAGCTTTCGAAGGCCTGTCTCCATTCAAATTGTGCAGAACAGAGCCGTCACATTGCCGAGTGTGCCTTTACAGCTCTTGCAGCCAAGCGTGCTGATGACATCCGAACTCCAGTGACCAACAAGGAATGCATCTTCATGGCCCGATACTGAGAGGTTCATTGTCTGAACACCGAGAACAAAGCTGCAGCCAAGTTGGCCACTGCCGCTAGTTCCTCAGCTGCTCCATCTGGCACTTCAGAAGCTCACGTTACACATCCTGCCCTGACTCCCGCGAAGTTCCTGTTCAAACTTCTACAGTCATGGTGGGCACAATCCCAATCACTGTTACTGCTCCTGGTGTCGTTCCAGAAGGCCCCAAGGAGGACATGCAGTCCACTTTCTGTGCCTAGGCTTTCAACACCAGCCCACAATCTGGTCTGTTCCTGTTAGATTACATCGCTTCTTTCTGTATTCATGTCTATACCTTGCATCTCATCGAGACTCAAGTTTGTAGGGTAGTTTTAGTTTAAAGAAATTGAAGCTCGTTTATAATAGAGTGTCTCCCCCAAACTAATGAGATGAAACCGCCAAAACAAAGCTTGACTATGACTTCTTCCTCATTGCCCTAGTGTGAACTCCCTGCTCTTCGACCAGACTTTGTTGATCCTCAATGAGGTCTTTGTCTTCCTCATCCTCTTGAATCTCAACATCTTCTTTGTCCAGTTCATCTCTAACAGCTTATTCTAGAGGATTGTCATCAGGCGCTAACCTTAGGTTCAGAGATACATCTTTCTGTCCAAGTCCTTCTCAATTGAAGTATGTCACACCTGTACCAACGTTCCTGGCTTAAAGTCCCAATCTTTAATTGTATGTTCATATTTCCTCTCATACTCTTTCAGTTCTCTTCTCTTGTTCTCATCAATTCTATTCCTCATACGCTCAACGAAGCTTCTATGCTTCAACAACGCTTGAGCTCTGAAGCCAATTAATTCTTCTTGTGTCAAAACCCTGTTTGGCGGATTAACCAAACAGGTTGACTCAACAATATCAAACAGCAACATAGGTTCAGCACCAGTGACAATGAAGTATGGCAAACAACCAAATCCACGCCTGGCTGTTATACGGTCTGCCCAAAGTATGTGTTTGAGAAAGAAAGACCACTTTCCAACGTCGCCACCAGTTGCTTTCACCAATGCTTGACGTATGTCAAAGTGGGCCCTCTCAATCTTACCATTTCCTTGAGAGTTATATGGAGAGATTCTAATGCCTCTGATCCCGTACTTGCTTTCCAGCCACTTTAGCATTTTCTTCATCTGTGGTGCATTATCTGTAACAACTTCCTGTGGACATCCCCATCTACAGATGACGTCCTCAAAAAACCATTCGCCTAGGTTCTTAGCATTATCCTGGCACATAGCTCTCCCTTCGGACCAAGATGAAAGTGAGTCACGGCCATGCACAATATACCTGCAACCAAGGGGTGTTCAAAAAAATAAGCGCTGACATGACCTTGGGGGGGGGGGGGGTCTGAGAATTCCTTATGGCCGAAAAAATTTTCATACTATTGAGGCTCTGGGGGGCATTTTAGGTTAATTCAACTACTGAAATAAGGCTATAAAAACTATTTAAAGCACTCAACATCTCAAATCTCCCTGAAAAACATGGATTCTATAGGATATGATGCATTTTTGTACCAATTTAGCACCTCCATCAAAAAATATTGTCAATGCAAGCGCACTTACACTAGGTTGAATTGAACTTAGATGATCTGCTGTGTATTAATTGCCTCTGAAAATGTTGTTTAAAGGTGCAAAGGAGAAAAAATTGTTATGTAATACAAATTTGAAGGTGGAAATCCTATGAAGTGTGGGAAAATTTTACTATATATAGGCAGTGGAGGGGGGGGGGGGCTTCATGAATCCTTATGACCCAAAAACAAGGTCATGTTGGGACTTAGTGGGTTGAACACCCCTTGCCTGCAACCATTACTTTTCAGCAACATCAGCATCACATCTACATGCACTTTCTGAAATAGCAACGGAGTGTATGTGACCAACGGTGGGATTTGAACATCCTCAATTGCCAATTCTGACATGCAACACAGAAACTGACATACCAATTTACATCTTTCTCCAGGTCTAGCCACCAAAATTGTTTTTCAATAAAATCCAATGTTGCATAGACACCTTTATGACCAAGGCTGTCATGCGCGCAATGCAAAATATACATCCTTTCTCTCTCTCAATGACTAACTGAGGTAGATCAGGCATTTCCTTTCTTTGCTGATACAGTCTGTCCTTATCATCTAACTTGAATGCTTCTGCTGACTTGTTCAAGAATTCAATTTCCTTTTCCATAAGATCAGCATATGCCTCATCCAATTTTAGAGCAAGCTTAAGTTTGATGCTTGGCAAAAGCTGATCTAACCTGTTCCCAGCCTCTGTACGATGCTTGTCTGCATAAGGGTTCTTGTTGTTCCACTGCTCATCTGCCATTGGAATCATTACTTCCTGCTGAAAGAGCAAGAAAAGAACTTTGCCCTCATCAAGTTTAACATCCCTCCTAAACTCAAACTGCCTTTCTTCATCAATGTAACTCTGCAGATCATCTTTGATATCTAAAGCATCTAAGGCAACCTCAGAAAAGTATCCACTTCTTGGATCAATATCATGTTTAAAATCTTCAAAATCCAGTGGGGCACCTTCAGCACCTTCTGCTATACTGAATTCCAAAGGATCACCATTGTCGATGTCTACATAGTCTTCAGGATTAATCGGTGGTCTTGGCAGTTGCCAACATCAGCAAAAATGCTCTGGACCTGCATTAGCCTGGGAAAACTGAGGCTACCCCTAGAGGCTGACCTGAGATAGCCTGAGATAGCCTGGGTAGCCTGGGTAGCCTGTGTGACCCAGGGTACCCAGGGTACCTGAGGTTAGTCTAGATTAGCCTCTAGGGTTAATCTAGGCTATCCAGTAGGGCTAATCTAGGCTACCCCTGGTTAGATATATTATCAGGCTCATTTTAGGCACTTTTTGTAGTCATCTCTTTTGCACAGACTTCAATGAATACTAGTAGTAATATTGCATCTACTCTACTACTGGCAACACTAGTACTAAATAGTCAAAGCAAAACCCAAATTTGCATTGATGCTGCCACATTCGCAGTCCCACCATTCACTTTTAATGCCACAAAAGAGTAGAAAAATAATGCCTCAGAAGGGAATCAAACCCATGTCACCTGCTCTCACATTCGACAGTGTTGACAGTAATTAATTGAACCAGGTATGATAACCTCTACACCACTGAGGCACGTTTAGGAGTAGTGACATTAGCGCTACATATCTTGACCCTTGAGACGTTCATCATGGTCTGCAGCACGACCAGCTCTCCAGTGAATATGTATTGTTGTCCCTGTAATAAATAAGTAAGAAAATGGCAACAGAAAAATAGACCACATACCTCAACATTAGTTAACAATCTCCAAAAGAGTTCCTGTGAGCTGAGAAATAGTATCAACTACCTCTCTCAAAGCAGCATCAAAGCTCTTGGAGATTAGGCTCGGATTGACTGCGCACATAGCGTAGTTGGAACAGTTTTCCAAATCACGTTCGACAGCGCGCTGCATCGTAATTCCACGATAAAAGACGATATCAACAAGAGCAGATATGGCAAGAACATTGGTGATAGACGCCAAAGCAGAATATTCACCAAGGGAGTGACCAGCAAATGCACAGTTGGTCTGGACAAACCCTTTGGCCCGCATGTCTTCGAACGCCACCTTCTCAGTAACAACGAGTGCAATCTGAGCAAAGAGTACACCATTACGGTGGTTGAAGGTGTACTTGGGAGTACGAATGACAATGTCTGCGAAGAGGGGGAGGGTCTTGACGTGCCCGTTCCTTATCAGTATCGTAGGACATCTCCATGTAGCATTGGCAGATGGCCTGCCCTTTGATACCACTGAAATGGATAGTCTTGTCCTTCGGGTTGTCCTTGACATTTTTAATGATGGAGAATCCATATACCACACGACAATGTTCGTCAGCACCGTCCCAGACAGCACGAGCAGTAGGAGAGGTGTTGTAGAGATCCATACCCATACCAGGCTCCTGCAATCCTTGTCCGTTAAAGACATAGGAAGTTGTAGTTTGAGAAACCTCCACTGAACCCTCCAAGATCTTCTCGCCGGAAGAATTTACAGTCTTGACCTTGACAACAATGCTGCCATCTCGCATACCAAGATAGCATACGTTGACCGTAAACTCCTCTCGGGGAAGAACCATTCTGACAAAGGAAACATCATACCTAAAGAAAAAAGGTGATATTCAGCGTCGAATACATGGAAAAAGACTTGAGACTCACGAAAGTACACGTTCCGGATGTTCCTTTGCAACAACGTTCTAAACGTATCGACAGGTAGCAGCACTGGACCATAAGCCATGCGTAATCGTACCAGGCAGACCCGCATAGTAGGAGAAGTATGGGTTGATGTGGATTGGGTTGGAATTGCCCAAAACGCCAGAGTAGGGTTCGTTAGTGAGAAGCATGGAGAAAGAAGTAGAACCCTCCGTGCTGGTGAGGGTATAGCCTTCATTGGCGAGGGAGACAGTAAGACCTTGAACAACACCGTGCCTCTGAAGGTAAGAAACAATGGGATTTCCATGCGCATCGTCCGCCTGGAAGTCAACAGATCCAACCTTGTGGAAATTGTTCAACTGATCTTGGATGAAGATGTTGCCAGTAACCAAAAGCTCGCAGAAGGAGACCTGATCCTTGAACAAAACCTTTGACTGCAATCAGAAGACAAGGGAAAGTCCAGGGGTGAGAGATCGGGACTCATCTTCCCACTCAAACCAAGTGACGATGTAGTCCGGTTCCTCAGTCAACTCGAAGGTGTTTTGGAAGTCGGTGAAGAAAGGAACGCAGAAACAACTTTGACAACGAGCTTTCCATCGCAATAGACATGGCCCTTAACCTTGACGACTTTCCCAGGCACAACCAACTCGGACTTGTTGCCGATACCGTCGATCTCGCGGCCGTTCTCTGGAATTCCGGCAAAGGGAAGAATGAAGTCGAGATCCATTCCGAGAGTGGTGTGAATGAAGTCAAAGAGGGCTCTTTGAGCCCTGGTTGAAAGGTACAACAGTAAGAGCAGATCCATGACTTTCAAAGGTCTGGGAAATCAACTGGTGGTATTCAACCGGGGAGTGGTCGTAGCGGGAGGTGGTGATGACAATGTGCGCGCCACCAGAGACCAAACCCTCGACGATTTTGACACCAATTGAGCTTTTACCAGCTCTGATGAGCAAGATATTCTTATGCTTGACAGTCGTTCCTGCCTTGAGGGCTTACAATTGCTATTCGAGTTCATTTTGCGAACTAGTAGCATTGAGAAACAAGTTGGTATAACCGTATAAAGTTAAGAGATGAAAACGCGAAAACTCACTGTAGCCATGAACAATCTTCTCTTTCTAATTCCTTATGCTTCTGCCGGTTTTTGCTCCCCTGCTTCTTTACTTGAGTTCCTTTTCCATCGATTGCTGGCGTTCTAAAGAGAGTAGAGCCGGAATGATATGACAGTTGCGGACAAAACGTGGGCGCTTATGATTCGGAACATAGTACTATAACATTGAATGATTCCAAGCTACTTCACAATAATTAATAGCAGAAAATTGAAAATGCATGAAAGTTCCGGATGCCTGGCAGATAGAAATCAGGAACAAAAGCATTGGATACCAGCAAAAGCACTGACTGATACATGATCAAAGATACACTACTCCAGCAAGACGGGGCTTGTAAAAGCGGAAGTCCTTCTTGAAACGTGCAGTCCTGAAAAGCTCTGTCTTCCTGTCGCCATAGAAATGAACTGTAAAGACAGCATCTTCTCCATATTTTTTACGGAAGACTTGAATCGTAAAATGATTGTGGTTGCGAGTCTCAGCAGCACTGAAAAGTTCCATTAATGATATGAATTGAACACAATGAAAGGAAGACATGCACGAATACCCAATGAAAATCATTGTACAATTTTAATCCCGTCTGCGACGCCACTCGACGTATGATGCATTAAAGACATAGCGGGTGAAGAACTTTAGCCTTGGCTTTCCTGGACCAATATACAAAGGCCTGAAGATAAAAGAGAGCTCAGTTGAGCAGCAGATTTCCGGGGCATTGACTAACTTTTGAGACCACAGCAAGATTATCTTTGTCACTCATCATTTAATAGGCTCAGCTGAATATTTGAGAAAGAGAGTTGGGCTAAGTAGTTCAGAAGGAGCCTGGTGAGTGACTAAGAAATTGGCGCTGTAATCCTTATCTGCACTCACCGTGACTCACAACTAATCCTTTCTCAGCAAACACTTCCAGCCTGGCTGAATAGCATAATTGTTGAGAGGGGCAAAGGGGTACCAGGAGCTGCTCCTGTCAATTCGTAGTAGCAGTCCGAGTAAACACACGGTATGATTCGACACAAATTGAAAAATGACCATAACCCAGTACTTGGCCAACAAGAATTATCCCTCTCCTCCATTGACGCATCCCGGTCACAAATACTGCGACTTCAAATCACAATTAGGACGACTTCTTTGTTTTCAAAGTGTAGGCGTCAATGGCTGTTTCCCCCAGAGTCAAGAGACATTTCCTGGTGATGATGAGACTGAGAAAATCTCAATTTCAAAGGGGGTTCCATATGTTCGAATTCGGCCTTTACTTCACGGTATTGCTCCTGCAGATGCAGACGTCAGCTCCATTGCCTACATCTCTGTACCTTTCCACTCCTGCCATCTCATTGTTCCTCTCCCTCCCCCAATCCATCTCTTGTTCAATCCTCAAAAACAACCGCTACTTCAACGGCCTCAATGTGCTACTGTGTCCTGCGTACATCTTCTTATTCTCTTTTCCTTTTGCATTCTCTTCCCTGCTTGGCTTTCTACCTCTCCTTCTCCAATTCCTCCCCAGATTTAACCACTGTCCGATGTGTATCAACACTCTTCTTCTCATTCTTCACACCAGGCATCCCCGGAGCCCGCGACAATGACTTCGAGGAAAGTAGAAGCATCTTCTGCCTTGATGTAAGAGTCGATGGAATCCTTGATACAAAGACCGTCCAGCTGAGCCTTGGCAAGTCAGCTCCAAACCTCAGGCAGGTTGACCTGGATCGCGTACTTGACACCGCGATCCAGAGAAACAATGTGTTCAACAAGAACCATAATAGCCATCGTGTGCTGGTCATACTTCTTGTAGACTGTAAGAGCCTCTTCAAACAATTTGTGCTTGGTTGCGATCTTAGCAATCTCCATATAGTCATAGTTTTGGAGTTTGTTGATATAACCAACAACTTTGCCCTTGTCTGCACTAATGGCAGTCAAAGGAAGGAGGTTCTGCAGGTTCTTGTTATGGCTGAACGGAGACAGCTCAATGATGATCTTTTCCAGTAGCTCAATGAGCTTGATGGGGAGGTTGGCAATCAAAAAGGCCTTGACAGTGACTGATACATTGTCTGGATCTGTAGACTCAGGCAGCGCAGTGGCCACAATCTATCGTAGCATGAGCGGTATGTAAGAGATGAGTGAATATGCAACTTACTTGGTCAATCAAGGCGCGGTGGTGGAGATTATCGGAAACAAGAACTTGGGCCCAAAGCTCAGGTTGGCGACGCTTCACGAGATAACGGGCCTGCTGCTTGAGCATTGTGTTGTCGTTGGTGATGGCAATCAGTTCATCATTGCAGAATCCTTTTGCGTATGCAATATAAGCAAAGTATGGATCCCGCTTCTCACAGAAATTTCCGACAACAAGAGGTTTGTAGAGCTAAAGGTATAGTTGCATTAGTATATGAGCAAAGAGAGGCAAAAGGGATGCACATTGTTATCTTTCAGGAAGGCTTCCGGGTTGTTGTTACTGTTGATGTAAATCTTCGCAATTGCATTGTAAAGAGCCGCGTCCTGGCTCCCAGCCTGAACTCTCACCTCAAGCCAAGGAAGAATCAACTTCAATCGGTTGCATTGCTTGACTTCATGTAAGAGCTTGTCGAGGGAGAAGTTGCCAGTGAAAGAGGCAAGGAGAGCCTTATAGTGTTCTCATTGCAGTCGACATCCAACAAACTGCCAACCACCTGGGGTGTGCGGGTGAAGTTGACCCTCTGGACATACACCTCGGTGAAGTTGGTGAGGTTGTTTTGGTAGAGATAAAGAACAAGGTCATGGACAAAGTTGAAATGGTCGCAAACAATGATGAGGGGAAGCTGATCTCCGAGCTTGTCTTCCTTGAGGAAATTTTTGACCTTCTCTGGGTTATAGTAATTGCTTTCT